GTCACATTGTAATTGAGTAAGTTTTTTTTGCAAATTAACTGCGGCCAAACAAGCTAACATAAACCCTGATGGTTTGCCAGTGGCAAAGCTCTCTCCTCCTGCCAAATCAACAGAAATCCATCTTGCTAATGGCCTGCGTTGAGAAACATGCGGAGAGAGAGGGACCTGGTTGATGTTGAGGCTCCTGTTTTTGCCGACTGCCTGATTCCATTGAAGAATAATCGGAGCTTTTTTGCTCATCTGACTCAACAACTGTGAGCTCTTGGCACAAACATCTCCTTAAGTTTTTTTTAAACTTCAACGTTCAAAAAAAATAAGTAAAAAAAAACACACTCACTCGCACAATCCTTCCGTGTGTCCCACCCACGTACCACCTGGCAACTCACAGCAGCTGCAGAAGCAACTCAAAACCCCACAGAAGGTCACATTAGTGGCTTTGGTCCATACTCTGATACAAGTCAAGCCTTCAGATCCTCTACCATTTGCTCCTCCAAAGCCCCTCTCTGTCACTCTCCCTCCTTCTCAACACACCCGGGCTCCTTTTTTTTTTAAAGTACGGCCTCGAAATCTACCTCTTTAGCTGAGTCTACGGCCAACCTCCCCCTTCTTCTCTCCCTTGCCCTGGTCACTTGCCCACACCAGGCTCCGTGACCCCATCAACCCTACCTTCGCTCCTCTCCACTGGCTCCCCATCCCTCAGAGGATAGAATTCAAAATCCTCATCCTCACTTTCAAGACCCTCCACGGCCTTGCCCCCTCCTACATCTCTGACCTGCTGACCCCCTATCAAACTGTCCACTCCCTCCGCTCCGCCCATGTTTCCTGCCCGACCCACCCTATCATCAACGACCAGGCTTTCAGCCTCTCCGTCCCCATTCTTTGGAACTCCATCCCACAACCCTTTTGCCTTGCTCCCTCTTTTGCCTCCTTCAAGGCACGACTGAAGACCCTCCTTTTCGAAGGTGCCTTCAGCCGTCTTCCTACCCCTCTGCCCTCCCTCATCCCAACTCTGCGCCACCCACCCCCCCCCCACACTCGGGTCCTGATCCCTGACTGTTCAGCGTCTTGGGACATCCTCCCGATGTGAAAGGCGCTTTACAAACGTCATTTTTTTTGTATTGTTGTTGTCCTGAGCCCAACTCGTGGAATCCCATAGCGTAGCATAACACACTCGCCTTGCAAGCATGAGGGCCCAGGTTCGATTCCAGGACGGGGCAAAACCTTAGGCACGTTTCTTAACTCCACACACCTCTGTTTACCTAGTTAGTAAGTAGGAACCCAGTTGTTAGTCAATTGGTGGATCACTTTCTGGGGATAATAATCTCAATCTCACTCAATCTTCGACTATTTGTGGGACACTGCTGTGCGCAATTGGCTGCCGTACCTCGCCCACAAAATACAGTCAATTCACTTTACAATACACTCTGTGAAGCGCTTTGAGCCGTCTCAACCACGTGATGAGATGCTATATCAAATGCAAGGATTATTATTCTTATTATTTTTGTAAAACACTCAGAAAAATTACCCTACAGGCTATGTAAACACGAGCTGTTGTTGTGGCTGCTGGGGAAGACAGAGTATCACAAGACAAAGTAATGAAGTGATGTGGATAAGCTGGGACTCGAGAGTAGTGTCACAAGGTGTGTGAGTCACAAGATCAACAACAAGAAGTATTTATATAGCACCCTTCATGCAGGATGGTTTCTCATGAGAGCATTACACAGTGGTGGGGTTGGATGCTGAGCTATGGAGAAGAGGGTGGGGGAAGTGGCCATAGGCGCCGTTCAAGAGATAGGTCTTAAGTGAGATTTAAAAATAGATGAGGAGATAAACACAGGCCCCAACATAGCGTCCAAAGCAAAATTCACTGATGAGACAGTGAATTGTAAACAAACTCAGCTGGTTTACTGAGACTGAGACATTGGGTAGTTATATCGATTTGCTTATGTATTGAACTATAACAACACCCAACCCAATGGCAGCTACATTGAATTGCCTCAAAGCACTTCAAAGAAACAGCTGTTGAGTGTAACCATTAAATGTATAGACAAATGGACAGCCATTTTGGTAACAGCCAGGTCCCATGAACAGCCGTGAAGTGAGCATGAGTTTGGTTGGGACACTGCCGTGCGCAATTGGCTGCCGTGTTTCGCCCACAAAATACACTTTACAATTTGCCTTACAGTATGTTCTGTGAAGTGCTTTGAGACGTCTCGACAACGTAATAAAGCTCTATATCAAATGCAAGGATTATTATTACACTCAACCATGGTGATGGGTTTCCGTATGTACAGACACCCAGCGATACCAGACACCAGGGTGATAGCCACAGTAACTACTGCTGTTGCCAATTACCACAATAAGCACTCGCTACAGATACACAGTCACTACATATTAAAAAGTAAAATCATATGAAGCACTTTGGCGAGACTTCTCAACGAGGTGATGAGGTGCTATATCGAATGCAAAATTTTTTATATTATTATTATCATCATGAAGTGCAGACTTTGACTTAAAAGTCAAGGTCTAAAGGAGAACCACTACACCTAATGAGGACTAAGGACACAAACTTTGCACTGGGTTGGAACAGATTTCAATACAAAACCACAATGTTTATGTGTAGAATTTTCTCTTCAACATTTCAAGCCACCTTAACAGCTAACAAAATAACCAGAAATGGGTTTAGGAACAGAGGAAAAGGAGTAGGCCCCTCGAGCCTGTTCTGCCATTCTATTCGATGATGGCTAATCTGTACCTCAACTGCAATTAGCCGCCTATCCCTCGATACCCTGACCTAACAAAAATCTATCCACCTCAATCTTGAGAATTTTAATGGATCCAGCATCCACAGCCTTTTGGGGAAAGAGTTTCCACCACTCTGCACGAAAAAAATGGTTCCTGGTTTCACTTCTAAATGGCCCTTTTTTCTGGATCCCACCCACTAACCCCATCACTGAGGAAATTTTACCTGAGAGACAAATTTACCTGAAAAACAAGTAACGAAACCGTACGTACCATTGTATGGTTAAGCAGTGCTCTTCAACCCTAGAAATTACAACATTTTTGCTTTCCAAGAACATTTCTTGCTCATGGGACTGCAAAGAGAACCTCAGGGCAATAGATTATGACAAGGCAAAATACCCCCCAGGGTGTTCAAACCAGCTTTCCACAATCGGCTTCAGCAGCAGCATAGTTTAATCATCATTAATAATGTACGTTACCCATTTGCCACTGACACTGTATAGTCTCTTGAGCCTCCACTGGAGCTGGTCTCAATGCCACAATCATATAACTCTATTTCCACTTCCACATATCATCTCTCGCTTTCACCCACAAAATGTAGAATCAATTCACTATATATTCAGGATGTATTCTGCGAAATACTTTGAGATATCTCAACAATGTGATGAGGTGCTGAATCATATGCAAGAATTATTATCATCTCTGGAATTTCCATGTGTAGGTGGGATGCAAGAAATTCTGGTTTGGATACTCTTAAACACAGTGTTGGGTTTCCACATGTGTCAGACACCCATCTGCCCCAAAAAACACTGATATCAGGGCCCCACCTCTCAAAATACAATTCTATATTTACACAGCACCTTTCACATCAGGAGGTCATCCCAAAGTGTTTAACAATACCGACTGGGAACCCGGCAGATGTTAAAAGATGTTAAAAAAAAGTGGAGGGTGGGGAGGAGTTGAGCAAATGTATTCATCAACAGGAAAAAATACACACAATTACATACCACTCGACTTTGAAGCAGAGGAGATCAAGAGACCAAGTATTACCGAGATTGTTGACAGTAACAACTACTACTTACATTTACATTACAGCTTTCACCAAGGATAATGTCTTGAGGCACCATACAGTGTGACAGCGGTTGGATGCCGAGCAAGGGAAAAGGGGGGAGGGGGAAGTACGGTCAAAGATGTAGGTTTTCAGGTGCACTTTAATGATGTGGAGGAGAGATTAAGGTAGTGAGTTCCAGAGATTAGTCCCAACCTTAATTTCTCCACCTCACCTGGTGTCGCCAATAGTGGATTGGGGGGAAAGACAGACATCAGGTCTGAGGGAGAGGCAGCAGGAGAGTGGGGTACAGTACAAGTGCATAAAAGGGATTTGAATGCAAGGGTGAGGATCTTGATGATGATCAAGGAGACAGTGGGAATGATGGACTTGCAGAGTTTGGCCTGGGTGATGATACAGGTAACAGTTCTCATCAGCTGGACTTTATGGATAGTGGAACTTGGGAGACCAACAAGGAGTATGACAAAGGCGTGGGTGTGATGGCATTTGGAATGAGGAATCTGAGGCAAGCAATGTAAACAACAACAACAACAAAATTACATTTGTATAGCACCTTTCACGTCAGGAGGACTCCCAAGGCGCTGGATAGTCAGAGATTTGGACCTGAGCTGGGGGTCAGGATCGGAGGGTGGAGGGCAGGGGTTAAGCAGGGTGATCGAAAGCACGCTCGAAGAGGAGGGTCTTGAGATGGGCCTTGAAGGAGGCAAAGGAGGGGGAGAGGAGGAGGGACTATGGGATGGAGTTCCAGAGGGTGGGGGCAGAGTGGCAGAAAGCCTGCCCCCAGCGGTGAAAAATGTACAATTTCACAGTCATAGCAGGGCATCTGAGCGAGACCCAAAATTTCACCCAGTCTTCGCCTGTAAAACTACTTTGTGTCTTAAAATTAAGATTGGAAAATTCATAATTTTAATTTCATTACTCTTATCGATTCGGAAGCCATGTGAGGGACAACTGGGCTTCCAAATTAAGATTGAATTGACAACAACTTGCCATTATATAGCACCCTTCACACAGGGTAGTGTCTCAGAGCGCTGCAAAGCTTAAGGTGTTTTCATAATTCTACGCGAATCTTGGATTTGAATTAGAAACAGATTTACCAGCCGACACCAGGAGAGATTGTGAGTCTCTCTAAGAGTACACAACTCAGGAAATCAGCAAAAGGAGGCAACTTATCACAATTAGCACTCACCAGTCGGTTTTCATCAAACACTTCGAACTGCAATCTGTGGTTCTGGGGATTGACCTGCAATGGGAGTAATTATGTTACTGCCACATTCTCAATTAATCACCTGCTGGTCCATCTACAGCGAAAATATCAGAATCGACCTTCAGAAAAGACTGTCTTCATACGAAGAGCAGCACAAGCATGCCGAGCCCGATACAAAGGAAAATCAAGTTCTAATGCTTAAAAATTATTTCTCCCAAAGGACAGATATTGTCAAAGAATCTGTACATGAGGGAGAAGGGAAAAAGGGTATAGGTTAAGGAATGCCATAGTGTAGTGGTTAGCGTGCTCGCCTCACAAGCGAGAGGATTTGGGTTTGATTCCCAGGTGGGGAAAAAATCTTGGATAACAAACAGTGTTAACCTGGTGTCAAGGAATGTCCCAGAAAACCAAACCACTTATAACCACACTGGCAGAAGCCATTACACCCTGGCTAAATCTTAGGCAAGTTTCCTTACTCCGCACACCTCTGTTTACCTAGCAGTAAGTAGGAACCCAGTTGTTGATCGATTGGTGGATCACTTTCCAGGGTGTAATGGTTTCTGCCAGTGCAGTTAGCAAGTGGTCTGGATTTCTCGGACATTCCTTGACACCAGCTAACACCGTTTGTTATCTAAGAGTGTGTTTGCTGTGCGAGCAGCAGCTTCTACACTATAAACAAATTCACACATCCAGATATTCACATTATGTGAACGGCCATCTTCAGATACGTAGGGCAATCATTGTAGGTAAGGGAAATAGGAGGTTGTGGGCTCCATTGGAGTATCTACCCTGGTGTGGAATAGTTGGGCTAAATAGTTTGTTTCTAATCTGCACTAATGCACTATTGGAGGGGGGGTGGGGGTGGGTAACAGGAGGGAAAATGATAAGAGAAATGTATGGCATCTCAGGGGGGTCAGGGGCTCTGGTGTTTCGAAAAGAGATGTCAAATGGCAAGCAAGTCAGACCCTTCTTATTCATGGATCAATAGAAATGGATTAAAAGATCTCCAATAAGTCAGGGTTGTTGAACGATTTCTATTAAGGGAGAAGAGATGGGTATTGTTTGATCGTGGCAGAGCACTCACGCACGCATGCACTCACACACACTGTTTGCTTTACTACATCACAAGTTTATAATGAGAGCAGATTAGCTGATCATTATAACAAGGGGCCTTTTCACTCAAGGAAAACTTCAAAGATATGCAAAGCACGGAAACAGGTCACTCAGCCCAACCTGTCCATGCTGGTGTTTATACTCCACACGAGTCTCTACCCATTCCTTACTCCCTCCCTTACCCTTCAATTCCCCGCTCCCTCATGTGAAAGTCTAGCTTCCTCTTAAATACATCTACACTATCTGATTCAACCACTGCTTCAGGTAGTGAGTTCCAGAGTCTCACCATCCTCTGCATGAAATAAACTCTCCTAAATTCGCTTTTAGATCCCCTAGTCATGATCTCATACCTGTGTCTCCTGGTTACAAGTCCCCAACCTATTGATTAACCTTATCAAACCCAATTATAATTTTTTAAACTCCTCTATTAGGTCGTCTCTTAAATGTCTCTTCTCTAGTGAAAAAAAATCTAGCTTATCCAGTCTATCCTGATAGCCATAACCTGCCAGGCCTGGTATCATCCTAGTAAATCTACTCTGTAGAGTATTTCCATCACTGCCATATCCTTCTTAGTGGTGTGGAGCCCAGAATTGACACAGTACTCCAAGTGTGGTCTCACCAAGGTCTTGTACAAACTAACCAAGATTTTCACTTTACAGCGAATTAAATACTGGACTATTCAGTTTATTTATAGTTTGTGTGTGTGTGTGTAAACTCTTTACTTACCCGGAAATAAAATTCTTCATTCCATTTTGGATTCAGTGTCTGAAAAACAAAATTATTTCCGTCAGTTAAAAACCACACAATCGCCAATGGTCACCTCTTCCCATCCCCCTAGCTCGGCATCAGGCTCCGCCTCTGAAACATTTGTCTGCCCGAGGGGTGCTATATAAACGCAAGTCGTTGTTGTTGTTTAACATGAAGACTTCAGGCATCTCTTCACAAACTTGGTACCGTTATGATCTGGCTGCTGTATATGCAAACACAAGGCGAGACCTAAGCTTAGCCATTTTATTAGTTCTCTTTCCCCATTTACTTCTTTATTTTAAGCACTCGGCGTCCCTTGAAATTAAATCACTACGATCCATATAGCCCAGCATCTTCCTGCATCGTAGAATTAATATAAATAATCTTTATATTTAATGTTTCATGTCGGGAAGACATCTCAAAGTGCTTCACAGGATGCGAAGGAACAACAAATTGCATTTATATAGCGCCACTCATGCAGGGTAGCTTCCCAGCTTGACAGTGGTAGAGAACAACAGCAAGTTAGGGAGCGGTGGAGGTGACCGTAGGCATGCTCGAATAGGAAGAACATCAACCATGACCTGAAGATGGGGAAGAAGGGGGAAAAGCGGAAGGATAGAGGAAGAGTGTTCCAGAGATAAGGCACATGCAAGAGTCCAGAACTAGTCGAGTGGAGGCAGCGGGTAGTGGGTTGGGGAGTATGCATGTCGGAGAGGTAGGGAGGTGCCAGGGCATAAAGGGATCTTAAAATCAATCCATTTGGTGATAGGGAGCCATTGAAGCCTGACTAGAACTGGTGTGATGGGCGTATGGAACTGGTGTGATATACGGTTGCGTATGTCGGCCGCGGACTTTTGTATTAGGTGGATTTTGTGGATGGTGGAGCTGAGGAGACCTATGAGTATATATCATCACTGCGGGCAGAGATTCCTCCCATTCAGCTTCTCTTAACCCTGCAAGCCAAAGCCTTAACCGGTGGTGTAGTCCTAGCTGGGCAAGCAGATGGAAATCTTGTCAAACAGTGCTATTAAAGGCACGTTTTAGCTGGTTCCCCAAGCCTTGGCTCTTGCCAACCTGTGCCTAATATTTTCTGGAATTAGGTAAACTGGATGCCTCTCTCCAGGGAGAGAGAGCACATCCCATTCCAACAATCTATCTCTGGAATTTCTATGTGTAGTGGGATGCGCAGAATTCTCAGTCTGAAGCACGGTGATGGGTTCCGTGTGTGTCCGGGTGAGTCAAGAAAAAAAATCCTGTGAAGCAATTTGAGACATCTTGATGACATGATATGGCAATATACAAAATGGAAAGATTATCATTATTTTATTAATCCTCCGAGTGTAGGACTTACAAAATGCAGAGGGCACTTGAAAAGTGGGAGGCTGACAGGTATCTGAAAGATAAGATGCTTGACGGACAACTTGCTCTGAGACTCGATGAGCCGGATGTGCTCATATCTGAGCTGTAAATTACTACAAATTATGGCTGTTCTTCAGACATCACTGTACGCAAATCGGTTGCTGCATTCCCCAACCAGTCCTTGATGTAAATCTATGAAGCGCTTTGAAACTGTGATACCATGATAAAATACTGTATCAAATGCAAGGATGGTCAATGTGCACAGATGATTATTAATAATTAATGATTCAGTAGCCATAGTGCTGGAGTGCTGAACCAGCGATTACATGAGGGTGAGGAGGAACTTTTATCTAATTCCTTCCTCTTGGATTTTGTACGTATGTGAATTTGGCAAGCAGGAGGGAAGATTTTTTGTGTGTGGGAGAGATTGAGATGAGCTCCTTCCTATCTTGCTGAAGAACATATTTGTTCTATACTTGTTAATTGGTGCAAGAGACAGACGGGGGCGGAAGGCGTGGAGGAGGCCAAAAGACGCAACAGTGTGGAGGATTGGAGGCAAGCTCTATCTCTCGCAGAAACCCAAAGCCAATTTTCTGAGCTCGTGCTTTTTTAACAATAATTCTTGTATTTGATTTAACATCTCATCACGCCATTGGGACATCTCACAGGACTTCACAGAATAGACTGTAAAGTGAATTGACTGTATATTTTGTTGGCAATTTGCTGACAAACATACAGTCACTATGCTTGAAAATTACTTCCGAGATGCTGCATATCAAACCCGAGGATCATTGCTGCATTAATTGCGGGACATTCGCAATTAAACTTCAAAAGTCCAATTACCTCGAGTTCTATTGAGCGCTACCTTTGTAAATACACACACGAGTATTGGGGTTACAGTGTACAACTGTGAATATAGTGCATCCCAGTGATAAACTACTTTACTGTAGCGCAGGTTCAGATAAAATGCATTTGAGGTACAGGCCCTGAAATTTTCTAACCTAAAAATTTATGCTCCTGACATTGACTAAAAATAATAATAATAAATAATAATAATAATTCTTACGATTGAAATAGCACCCCATCACATTGTCAAGACATCTCAAAGCATTTCACAGGATATACTAAAAAGTGGTGTGACTGTGCATATTTTGTGGGGGAACTCAGTAGCCAATTTTTGCACAGCAGTGCCCCACAAACAGCTGTGAAGTCAGTGATCAATTTTATTGACAGCAGGGAAACTTTACAGGTTTTGTTCCTTTCACTGTCCTATGAAGTCCGCTGGCAAGTGTCACTGGGTCAGTAAGCTCCCTTACCCATTCCCTGGAAACTTACCTTTTTTATAGTTTTGGTCTGAATCAACCCCAATTCTCGGTTCTCGTCAGCCACATACAACGATAGCTTCACATAAGGATCACTGGGGAGAAACAAACAAAAACATTGGAAGTTTTAGCTTCAGTTTTATTAACACTCCTTCAGTGAAGCTCTCCAAGATGTTATACTACCTGCTTCATGTTCCCCCTCCCTGTCTACTCCAGCATTGGCAACCGAGCTTTCAGCCTTTCTGTCCTCACTCTCCCAAACTCCATCCCGGATTCCCTCTGACTCGCTCTCTCTCTCACATCTCATTCAAGGTATGTCTCAAGATCTTCCTCTTTATCCTCGCTTCTCCACACACCCTGGTCAGTATTGTTAAGTGCCTTTGGGACATCTGACCTACGAATGTCAAACATACGTATAACATAAAACAAATTACATTTGTGTAGTGCCCTTCACGTCAGGAGGACTTCCCAAGGCGCTGGACTGTCAGGGATTTGGACCCGAGCTGGGGGTCGGGATTGGGAAAGGTGGAGGCTTGATCGAAGAGGAGGGTTTTGAGAATAATGTGTATTGTACTGTACCTTGTGAGGACGCAATGTAAATTCAGGGAGCTGTTTGCAGATGACACTCAGCCTTTCATTCCCACTCCCTCCTCTACATCTCCCCACCCCTCAGTCTCGCATGACATGCACAGTCACTCCAAGATGCTGATATATACCTCACTAAAAGTAGCTCACAGGAGTAGAGAGCTATGAGAAAGGCAGATGGAATTCTGCGGATAATAAGAAGCAATAGAATACAATAGGGAAGTACAGTCGCAGCCGTCTATCGGGACTCTGTATCTGAACATAAGTGAGACAGCGCTGGGGAGAACTTCATTCAAGTGCGGGCATCTCAGAAAAGATAGAATAAATTAAAAAAATAAAGTGGGGCCACCATTCACCCATTGACCTTCCCTACGGTCACCTTCCCCCTCCCCTTGGCATCGGGCTACGGCACTGTTAAGCACTCTGAGACGCCGACTGGCGTAAAGGACGCATATAAATGATAGTGTGGTAAACACAGGTCTGAGGTCCGAGGCACTATCATACAAAAATAGTGTTATACAAATTAAAGTTGTTGTATAAAGCATATACCATCATAAGGCTGTATCTTACTTAAAAGTCCACTGAATCTTGCCTCTTCTCATGACTGCTCAGTATATGGAACGAACACACAGAAGGTAAGGTAGCAGTAACAACAAACAACAACTTGTATTTACGCAGCACCCTTCATGCAGCGTAGCGTCTCAGAGCGCTGAACAATGGAAGAGTTTGACCCTGAGTCAGGGAGGAAGGAAAGGTGACCATAGTCATGGTCGAGGGGATTGAAACAGGGAGAAGGATAGAGAAGGCAAAGCAGCATCGAGCACAGACTTTCAACCTGACGAACTCAGTCCGAAAACAACGGGTTTCCTCCAAAAGAAAACTCACAGCCACTGCGGTCCTTTTCACGAACAAACACTCACAGTATTTAGTCTGTTAAGTTTCCGCAAAAGTATTAAAATTCCTGGTTTATCACTGCCATATACACTGCTTTGCAGATGAACCCTACGCTCTATATCTTGTATCTTGAAAAGTATTCAGTGCGAACTCCTTGCAAAGCCAAGGGATTATAACATCACATTTATTTTAATATTAAAACACCCTCAAGTTTTAATGTTCAAAAACAAATCTTTTTTTCTAAAAAAAATGCTGAAGTTTACATAGAACTATAAAATATTACAGCACAAAAATGAAGAATTCAGCCCATTAACTCAACACTGGTATTTTTCTCCACAGCCACTAATATTAATTAAGCTCATTTCGCAAGCAAGGGGACTCGGGTTCGATTCCCAGGCCGCCCACTGTGAGCCAATTGCTATGCGCAATTGGCTGCTGCATTTCACCCACAAAATATACAGTCAATTCACTTTACAGAGGTGTGTGGAGGAAGGAAACTTACCCAAAGTTTTGCCCTGCTGGGAATCGATCCCAGGTCTCTCGCTTGCGAGGCGAGTGCTCTAACCACTGAGCTACAGGCCTCCATGTCTTCGAGACTTCTCAAAGCCCTTTACATAATACACCGTGAAGTGAACAGAGTGTATATTTTGTGGGCGAAACACAGCAGCTAATTGCGCACAGCAGGACATAAGAACATATGAATTTGCTGGTGAAAGAAGACCAAGTTCCATCTAATTCGCCTTCCACCATCCTGGTTTGACAGGCCTGGTAGTCGATGCTAGTTAAGACCAAAGGATCAGCCGTCATCAGTTACGTCTTTGCCAATGTATTAAAAAGGAAGGAGGCAATGCTGTGGTGACAAGCAGTGTCACCAAAGGTCACAATTACTGGTTTCCAGCATTCTTCATTATCAAAAGGGTCGGATCATTATCATTACACGACAGAAACATGATGTTTACAATGCGAGGAAGCTGGAATTATATACCCAGAGCTGCCAGGCTTCCTTTGTGCATTTCACCGAGAGCAAATGAAGTAATGAACAGTTTCTCGGCAAATCGGGATGTTAAGTACCATTCATCGTTTTCGGAAAATACAACAGCAACTTGCAAATATACAGTCAATTCACTTTACAGTATATTCTGTGAAGCGCTTTTGAGACATCTAGAAGACGTGAAAAGCGCTATATCAAATGGAAGGATTTTTTTTTAACAGAACTCCAAAGATCAAGACATACTATGGGGGTGGAAGGAATGGAGGGGAATGTGAATGGATCCTGAGATGATTGATGGATCCATTGAGACACTGCTGTGTGCAATTGGCTGCTTCGTGTTTCGTAATGCAAGGATTATTATTATCATTATAATCGAACACAAGCTTTTGTGGAAACAGACACTGGCCGATAAAGGCTAACAGAATTGCACCAAATTCAATGGGGTGTAAAAGAAATTCAGTGTGTGACATGACGATCACGAAGTGTGGGAATGATTCACCTGATAGTGAATGTGAAGGAACATTCTGCTCCTGGAGAAGATTCACTCGATAGCCTGCTGGTTCGGAGAATCCCGATAAGACCAAATTACAAGTCCAACTTGTAACTGAAACTCCCTGCCTCGATGCCTCCGCCTCAACCCTTCTTTTGTGTCAGCCTGGCTCAAGTGCATCTGAGTCACAAGGTTGTTGGTTCAAGCCTCACATCGGACTCACATAGTCTAATGCAGGGGTTTGGGTTCTCTAAAGCACAGCGCTGAAACACCGGGATGAGACACGAGCAGGCAGTCAGCCAGCTCAATGGCTGCAGTGATAGCTTTGGACTGAAACCAATCTAGTCTGACAGATCCAGTTGGTCAGAAGCACCATCCTTCATTAAATCAAATAACTCAATTTCTCCACTGTCTGTTGAGATGGATGTTAAAGATTCCATGACAGCAATTTGAAAAATGAACGAAAGTTTCTCTCTCAGTGTCCCGGCCAATAATCCCCCAGATAAAATTGGCCATTCACCTCCTGGCTGTATGAGGACATTGCTGTGCACAAAATTGACTGCCATGTACAAAAAACAATCACTGCACTGAACAATGAATGCTCCCTCTTTATCAGTCTTCACCTCCCTTTTCTCCCTGGAGTGGAGTCAAAGTCTGCCTCTACTCAGCGAGCGATCCGAGATGCTGGCCTGCGTGATGGGACGCTATATAAATGCAAGTTGTTGTGGCAAGTACAATAGAGCTCTTTATAATAATAATCATCCTTGCATTTGATATAGCGCTTTATCGCGTTGCTGAGATGTCTCAAAGCGCTTCACAGAATATTCAAGTGAATTGACGGAATATTTTGTAGGTGAAACATGACAGCCCACAGCGGTGTCCCACAAACAGTCTGTATTGAGTGATCAAATTACTATTATAATTTTTTTAAGGGAACCCGGAAAAGCGCTCCACCAATCAACTAACAACCAGGCTCCAACTTACTGCTGGGTAAACAGAAGCGTGTGAAGTAAGGAAACTTGCTTAAGGTTTCATTCTGCTCGGAAATCGAACGCGGCTCCTCTCTCTTGGTGCTCTAACCAATCCGCTGCAGGACTCTACATCTCTTTTGATATGTTTTGACATTATAGGTGCTTCATCTAATGCAAGGATTATTAATGTATAATTATTATTATTCCAACATGATTCCATACATCACATACCGCAGTTATTAATTTTGACATCTCAAGAGGCCAAATATAACCCATGTTATGATAATTAGCACATCACATACGCATTTCCAGCAATTTCAGCATCTCACGTTGGCCAAGAATATAAATCAACTCGTGCCAGCTCATAGTTAATGCAAAACCGTAATTCCAGAATTGCATAACCGTAATTTCAGAACTCTGCAGCTCGTGTACTGTCCCGCACCAGGCTTCGGGACCACATCACTCCCATCCTCGCTCGCCTCCACTGGCTCCCCATCCCCCAGAGGATCGAATTCAAGATCCTCATCCTCACCTACAAGGCCATTCACGGCCTCGCTCCCTCCTACCTCTCTGACCTACTACCCCCCTACTTACCTGCCCATACCCTCCGTTCCTCTGGCTCCGGTCTGCTCCACATCCCCCGGTGGCCGGGCCTTCAGCCTCTCAGCCCCCAGGCTCTGGAACTCTATTCCCCAGTGCCTTCGCCGCCTCCTCCCTTTCCTCCTTCAAGGCTGGTCTCAAGACCTTTCCCTTTGACCGTGCCTTCAGCTCCCCTCTCAACTCTCTACTCCCTCCTCGCCCCCTCCCTTCCCTCCCCTCACCCGACCATGTCCCCCCTCCCGCTCCCTCCCTTCCCTACCCTCACCCTGACCATTTTCCCCCCTGCTCGGGTCCTGACCCAACTGTGCAGCGCCTTGGGACGTCCTCCCGACGTAAAAGGCGTTCTATAAATGGAATCTTGTTGTTGTTGTTGTAATCAGTGATTTGAAAGACACTACATCAATTTTGTTCTAAAACCATCAAAAGCAAAGGCATATTGTATAAAATTTGCATCTGATGCAGCACTTTATGACATTGTTGAGATGTATCAATGCACTTCACAGAATTTACTGTGAAGTGTTTATGACTATTTTGTTGGTGAACACGGCATTGCACACCCCAATG